TGCATAAATTAAGATTGTTCATTGTTTATCCCCTAGATGAAAAAGTGTCTTAGCACAAGCCTGTGCCACGCCTAATTGATGGTGAATAGCATCACGCAATTATTGCAAAAATTCGACCAAAAACTGAAAAACTAGAATAAAATTATGTTTCTTTACTAGATGTATGCCAACAGAATAACAAACTCCATTTCCTTTTCCATATTTACACATTTTTGTCTTGAAATCATACATTCTTGGATAAAGAAAATAACAAAGAGCTTACTAGTTGTTTTAGATCATGAAGCCTGCAATACAGTCAAGAAAAGGAATATATATATATATATATATAAAAGAGAAAGCACTGTAAAATTAGTGAAGAGATTCATAAGAAATATCAGCTTGCCTTTGAAATGGCTTGATATTAAGAAACTTCAAAACGAGCTGCAACCAAATAAAGAACTCAGCAATTATTGAATCAGTTCACTAATAACTTCGTCTCGATTCCAATTTTTTTTTCAAGAAATGTCACTAAACATTCAAGAAATGCTAACTTTTCAGAAATTCGAATTACTAAAAAGCAACAACAGAACAAATCAAGATCACAAAATCAGACGAAATCTTCCAATTTCACCATGAACGTTGTCACAAACATTCTTGGAGAGCCGAAGATTGAGCAAGGAGGCGAAGTCACAGATTGGGAACATACGGGCGTTTGCATTACAATAAGCTTCCATTCTCAGTCTTTTAGATCTTGAAATGGAAGGATTCAACAAGAGAAGAGAAAACCATAAGAAGAAACGATGCTGGTAATGCTGGGTGCTAGTGCTGCTGGGGGCGATAGAGATTGGAAACGAAGCTAATCTGAGAGTAGGCATAGTGGAGGACTAGAGTCTGAAGCCAGAGGTGATGGAGGCTGGAGAAATGGAGTTAGGAAAGAAGAAAGAGTCGATTAGGATGAAGATGAAGCTTAGGGCTTCTAATTTTAGCAAATTTATGTTCAGATTTTGAGTTTTTTACCCTAAAATTGTAATGGGTTAAAGGATAAAAGGGTAACATGGAAAAAAATAGGGATAAAACAGACCAATAAATAAAAAATATGAAAAAAAAAAAAAAGGAATGGAAAGAATTGTGTAATTGACCTGGTGGGTTTACCGGGTCTCCAGGTGGAACAGTTTTGTCAGGTCCACTAGGTTTGGATGATCCAACAGCCCAAATGGGTTTGAGCTTTCAACCGAACCGTTTTGTCAACCGAGTGACAATCGAATTGGTGAAACTGACTGGTCCAGTTCGATTTTGAAAACACTGTATGGGACCTTTACTGAAGCTCTCAAATTGCTGACTGTTACTCCAATCTACAGATCTGAAATAGGGGAATATTATGAGCTAAAAGCCCAGTAAGTATTAAGTTTAAATTACAAACTTGGGTTCTAAAACTCCTAGACCTACACACATGAAAGGCATGAGAGACAATGGAACCAAGCCACATAATACTATAAATCTCAATATTTAAATAATAATTTAATATCTCAAATCAAAATAAGACATGTTAAGGAATAACCTATGACATTTAAATCAAATTCACATCATAAAATCATATGCTAACAAATACAATGTCACAAACATAATGCATAAAACAAAAATCACACAATGCTATGAAGTTCACTGATGTGTTGATTGCATATCCAATGCAATCCATTTCAAATATCTCATGTCTAATGGTAGATTTTACTAAAACAAAAATTAAAATTGATTCCTTAGTTTAATAGTGCAATTAACACATAATTAATCAATTAAAACCCAAATGCACAAGTCACGAGTAGCACCTCCTATGAAATTTCCAAGTCTTACCACAAATGTATAGGAAAGTATCAAAATAACAATAGCAAAAATTATAATAGCCAAAAATCTCTTAAAAAAAAAGATTCACAATCATATTTCACCACTTTTTTTTTTTTTTTTTGTATATTATGGCAAAATTCATAATTTCCCCAAAACTCTAACCTAAATATATAGCTAAACTTATACTTACTTGAAAATTAATGCATTGGATTGAAGAGAATAGTAGATATTGAGAGGGATTTCAATTGGAGAGTGTGTCCTTACACCTCAATCTTGGTTGGAAAAAGAAGGAAGAGACGCAGGGGAACCGACTGTTTTGGGAAGGAAAGATGTAGAGGAATGGTTTGGGCTTTGGGAGGCTTAAGGCAAAAAAAGGGTTTTTTAATTCTACAACCTTCCAAAGAAAGCCATGGTGAATTGTTGTTATATTGCCACATGTCTCCAAATTTGGAAAATTGAGTTAGATAGTCTTTAACTATCTCATAATTTCACATAAGGTCCATATATTCTAAATCTAATCAATTTGATACCTAAAATGTTAAAATAAAGGACTCTACTTTTTAATTTATTCACTAAAGTATGTGGGGTGTTACAAAAGGCATGAAGCACCAGTAGTAAAGAGTAAAGTCATAGGACAGAAGGAGAAAATAAAGGAAGCCAACAACACATTGCAACAATTGAGTGATGAATGAGCTAACTAAAAGAAAAACCTTTGTTAGTTTTTTTTTTTTTTTTGAACATTCATTCATCCTTGTTATGGTCATTGAGCCCCTTAAACATCAATCTCTAGACTTCTTTTGAATTTTTTTTTTTCTTTATCATGGATAATGAATGGATGTATTTATTTTCTTACTTAGCCTTTGATTGCTCATTATTTTACGGTTTTGTTGTTCATAGCTTTGTAAGTAAAGTCACTTTAAACGTGAACGTGTCATGCCCCCTTGGTTGCACCAACATTTGATGTATATTTCCATAATCCAAGTCATAACTTTACATGCCTTTATTGCCTTTATTAACAGAAAAACAACTAAAATAAAAATAATATTCAAACACTTACAAACTTGAGTTATACAGACATAAGGCATGGTTGTCCCATGCCCTCCATTGATCTTACATGATTGTAGCTCTCCATTCAAAGAATTCAACCAATAATATCTCAATTAAAAACTAAGTGACATTTCCTTGCTCATTCCTTCTCATAGGTCTTTCCTCCATCTACTTGGTAAAAAGTAGTTAATGAAAACAATTATAAAAGAATAGCCTTTAGAAGAAGGTGGATAAACTTTTCCAATTAGATCAATTGCCCAATTATGGAAAGGCCATGGCTTGACTATATGATGTAATTTAGTTGTTAGTGCTCAATATAAAAGGCTACACTATTAGCAAGCCTTCTAGCCATTTATAGTGATTGCCAACAATTGAATTACATTTTATTACCAAGCCATACCCTTTTTATGGTTGAGTATGTAACTAATATAATATTTAAAAATAAATAACCAAAAGAAACCATGCCTTTGAATTAGTCATTGCATCTTAATCCTTGCTTGGTGAGTGCCACAAATACCATAATAAACATCAAATATCATAATAAACATCAAATATCACATGGTGACTTTCATTAACCCCTTTACAATATAAGACAAAGGTAGCACACCAATAATTCATTAGCCCCACCGCAATATAAGACATTCTTTAATAGCACATAATTTAAAGCTTACATCATTGTTTTCCTTAATGCTTTAAAACTAAAATTTCTTAGGTACCTCCAATGTATAAGTTTGACATCCTATAAGTGTGCTGCCACCACCATCCCTCTTTAATTAATGGAAGGCAGCATACATTTTTCAATAACAATCACTTCTCTTAGATTTTTTCAAGTATTTTCACATCCGAAACAATTTAGGCAAACTCATTTGCTTCAACGTTTAGATTATAAGAAACATATTTTAGTGAAACATCATTAAATTCTTCTAATAGTTGGATGGCAATGGCAAAATGTGAAGCGAACACAACACTTGTACACTTATATCCTCTACTTAATTACTTGAGAATTAACTAAAAATCACCCATAATTTCAATTGAAGGCACCTGCAATTCCATCAACAATTTAAGGCCAATAACTAAAACATCATATTCTACTAATTGTTGGTGCATTTAAAGTCCAATTGAAAACACCATTAGATTTTTAGGCAAAAGCCTAAGAATAGCTCCTTACCTTGATAAGTTGGACGGTTTTGGCCCTTGATAAGTTGGACGGTTTTGGCCCCTCACCTTATAACATAACGGTTTTAGCCCTTAACCTATAAGAATGGAAGAAAATAGCCCTTTTTTGTAACTTCCGTTCGTTGAGCTGTTACCGTCTGTCACTTCCGTCCGTCACTTCCGTCCCTTCCTCCGTTATCTTTCCGTTAACTTTCTCAAAGCTTCTCCAAGAAGCATGCTGCATTTTTTTTTTGGGAATTCAAACTTTTTTTTTTTAAGAATTCTAACATTTTTTTTTTACCTTTATTTTTAAAGATGGCTGAACATATATTACTTGTACATAATTTTTACATATTATTAAATAAATAAATATAATTAATATCATGAATACAAATAAATAAAACGAATGAATAGAATACATAATATAATAAAAAATGGTAAAACTTTCTCAAAAACTTGCTGCATTTTTTAAAATTCTAACATTTTTTGGATTTTTATTTTTAAATATTACTGCATATATCCATTGTATTCAACCTAA